AAAAAAAAAAAAAAAAGCAGCAGCTTTGTCATTTTTCCTTACGTGTTACAACGAAAGAATTCAGCCCTTCTTTAAACAGCTCAGCCACAACCTGTGGTCTTATTAATAAAACCCAAAAGTTCTTATGTAGAAAAATAAAGGATAAACATTTTCCATCTATTCTATATTAAAGTTTTATATAAAAATTTGATGTGTGACAGGATATTTACTTTCTTAGCAACAAAAACGTCAATGCTATTTCTTCCCCACCCCCCGAACAGTCTAAGCTCAATGGTGAGGTGGTAACCTTACATCTTAGACTTTGTTCAGAGGGAAAGAAACCCCAGTTGTTAGCGATTTTACTTTTTCAAAAATAAAGTTATAAATATATATTTATATTACAAAAAGTCTCTGGACAACTTGATTCTAGGAACACGGGAGCCTAATTTCTCCGGTGACCACTTCATCCCTCCCTTTGAGAGAGAGAGAAAAAAAAGTGAAATTCAGTTGTGAATCCACCAGAATTTGGCATGTTCAAAAGAGGAGAGAATCATGGAGCTTCTATATAAAGAGACTTGTGAAGCCTGGGTTCACTCCCGCCAAGTCCTTCAGTAGGGGCTTCTCTTTTCCAGCTTGTGCTTGGTAATGAAGTACTTGAAGAATTCATACACTGACCACGCGATGGCGGTAGAAGGCATCTGGTAAATGACACGAGCCTGCACTCCTCTGAAATACGCTGGGATACCACCAAGCTGATACACAGTCCTGAAGGCATTCACCATTCCCGAGAGGTGTCCACTGATGTTTAGTGAACTCAGTGCCATGTTCTCCTGAGTGTTTAGCAATGTCTTGCAGACATCGAGGGGGGTGGTGGCAGCAGCAGCCACTGCCCCAGCAATGGCACCAGAGAGAATGTGTGAGCGGGGGTTATACTCTCGACGGGGGTTGATTTTCTCCTGCATGATTTCGTACACGATGAAATGAATGGCTTGGAAGGGCACATTCATGGTGAGCTGTGTGGTATAACTCCGGTAAAAGGCACCAAACCCTTCCGTCCTGTGCACTGTCCTGATGCAGTCCAAAACAGATTTGTAAGGAGAGTTGTACATCTGCATCCGCTGCTTCACCACTGGTTCAGCAAGAGGCCGTTGGAGGGTGTGAACACCAAATGGGTAACACCAGATGGGAGGCAGAGGTACCCAATGGGACAAGAGACAAACCAATTGGATACAAGTTAGAGTAATTCAGGACATCCCAACCCACCCAACCATGCTGTATTTCTTGCCTAATCTAAAACCTTCAATCACTGGCGGCATTAATGCAATTCAAAATAGTTTTACAGAAAGGTGACATTGTTCTCATTTTAGGAAGGAGAGAGGGAGGACAAGGTTTACACAGCTGACCCTGCCATTTGAAGTCCAGAGCAATGCTTCTGTTCATTTCAGTGCAAACATCGTTGAGTCGCAAGTCACCCGAGCCCAGGTCTATTCCAAATAAGCGTCAGCACTGAGCCTAGAACCTATAAATGTATGGCTCCTAATCCCAGGTTCTAGACCATCGCTAAGCAGTGCCTGCTCTTCACATAATAATTTTCAATCCCATTGTTTAAGTGGTGGATTTTGTCCCCCCCCCCTTTAAGTCTTGAAATTCTCCAAATTCTCAGAGAATTTCTCTCCTAAAAGATTTCATAAGTAGAATTCTCCCCCACTGCTGTATCTTTTAAGTGCATTTAAGAATCACTTTGTACTCCTCTCTCATCACTATCCAAACAGAAACAGATGGAGGGATGAGTAAAAAATAAAAATACTGGTTTAGCTGACCTAGATTATTTCCCAGAATACTTGGGAAAGCATCAGCATTTGCAGAAGGCTCAGGATGCTTTTTTCCCCTGCTTCAATTCCAACTTAAGGATTCTACCAGTTTTGTGTAGAATATACAGATTTCCTTCGCTTTATGCAGGTTCTGCATGTGTGAACTCGCTCTTATGCGATGACCCTTTTTATACCAAAGATTTGTTATACGTGAGGTAAGTTCACTCTTATGCGATTGGCGTGGTGGAAGCCCACAGTCATCTGCTTTGTACGGTGCACTGGGGGAGTGATGCGCACCAAAATATAGTCTCCTACGTGGATGTGTACTCCTCGCTTGTTGTCTGCGACGTGTTTCCATAGTTGTCATTATGGCTTCTAAGTGGTCCACTAGCTTATCTCCTACTCCTCTCCTTGGTTCATCAATGAAGCGCAAGAGAACTTCACTAACACTAACACCCTTTGCCACCCTCTTTTCATGTCAGCTAAACATTCACCACCAGCACCCTGTGCTTATGTATACTGTCTGCTGTTGGTGAGTACCAAAACTGTCTTGTA